TTATTCGTAGGACTGCCCCGCGGCGAGCACTTCCAATTCTGATTCCGAATCCCGATGCCATGCGCTATCTCCATCTCTGTCCATTTTTATGGACATGTGCGTAAGCGATCCGTGCGAAAAATGGGCGCTTCGCAGCAATTACCACCGCGGGAGAACTCGGAGTCGACCAGGCCAAATAGATTCGCCATGGCCGATAAGACCGCTTTTCCGCTTTCCACTTCCCGTCCTGCGATTTCCATTCTGTTAAGTTCCGAGCGTGCACGCCTACGCACCTTTTGCTGTCATGCAAATCAGTTTGCGGCGGGTGGCCTCCAAGTTTATAGGATGGGGCATACCCCCTTTCAGGACTATACTATATGGAAAGGGCCCATCCCCATTCCGGTCCAAGCCCTCACATATGCGTAACGCCCGTTAAATTACGAAAACTTCGACTGGCAAGGCTATATAACTGATACAGTGATGAGTACAAATTGGTTTCGGTGGAAACAATTTACTGATGTACCATTCTAGTAAGCTTTGTTTCATGATATTCTATCTTGTGGAATATATATTTGTATGGAATATATATTTGAACCTCTTTGTAACCCTTAATAGTTTAAAAATTTTAATTGTTGAATTGAAAATAGGAAACTTATTCAAAAAATGGCGCCCAACGTGGGGCCCTGTAATCACTACACCGTAATTGTCTCTAAAGGGTCTAATTTTATTTTTAGTTTGCTTTAGTAATACTTAAATATTCTACAACACCTTACCACCTTTAACATTACTTTAGAGACTTTTTCATTATTCCCGCCAAGCCGTAGCTCTTCCTTAGAACGTATTAGCGTCAACTCTTGGCCCTGGATTCTATTCCAGCCAGGTCAGGTGGTTGGCCGGAACCGTCTGAGTTTATCATTGCGTTGCGAAATGCGAATCGGAACATCCGCTTCTAAATGCCAGGCATTTGCTGGGCTCTGCACCCCCGAGGGGCACCTCATTCCGACCAACCTCATATCTTTCTAATGGGGTTAGACCTGCAATTGTGTCCAGTGTTCGGCTCTAAATTGAAATTGACCAGAGCTGTGAAAAAGGGAATTGGCGGTGGGAACGCCCACCACGCCTTGGCTTATATAACGCGCGGCTTATGTAATTTCAGCGTCACTTTGGAGATTTATAAATTTTCGTTGGTTTTTCTTTTCCATTTCGCGTCGGTCTTGTTTTATTTTTTTTTCTGTTTTCCCCCCGTATTCCCCTGTTGTTTTGTATCTCGTTCCGAGAAAGAGAAGTCGCATTAAGCCAGCTGGACGACGTTTCATTACCAAAAGAGGGAAAATGGGGTGGGGAAAAGCCCGAATGGAGCTGGGAAGTATGCAATGTAAATAAATGGATAGGAAGAAATCAACGTTAAAATAAATGACACTAAAACTGGAGACACACTCACTTTGTTTTTGTTCTCCATTCCGCTCATTTAGCCCGCGTTGGTGTTGTGTTTTTTGTTTTGGCCCGCTCTTCAATTGGCTATTAAGCAAATTGATTCAGTTAAATTTATCTTAATGCAATCTTCTGCCGACTCCCCCGCCGCCATTGAGATAGTGCATAATTTGAAGGGCATAGTAAACAAGCCGACAATTCACGCGCAACAACGGCCGAGAAAGTATCTGGCACACTTGTGGATACACAGATACATCTCTCGGTGGGTCCGACACATGATGGCGACACAAACAAAAACCTAAAACAAAAAACCGAAATAATGGTAGAGAAAAGCAGAGAATCCAGGCTGAGTCTGAAGTATCCAGACCCAATCCCAATTCCCAAAATTCTGGGTGAAGGAGGAGGAAGGACGAGCGACCATAAAGCGCTCGAAGCGTGAAGAACAAGGGTGAATGCGGAAAGTTACAGAAAAAAAGCATTAGGAAATATATCTGGCTTGGCTTAAAAAGCGCGCTGTTGATTGTTTTGCTGGATAACGGCCACGACGATTCCATTGCCCATCTACCATCTACCCAACTACCCATTCCGTCCCTTCGTTTTTACCCGAACTGTTGCGGGGTTATTTTGATTCCGTTGTCGCCATCCGCTATCCGCCATCCGCCTATGATGGAATCGCCCCGAAGGGCTGTTCCATCTTCCCCCAAAACCCCCCCACCGAAACCCATCCCATACCATACATACCCCTCAACCTTCAGCCCTCCGGAAAACTATCTCTCCTCGAGCTGCGTATGTGTGCTACTGGGCAATCTCTAAGCCATATAAATATGCCATCGTCTGAGGACAATCTACTAAAACCATCGGATTCGACTCGGCTCGCGTGGCGCGGCCCAGCCCAAAAACAAAATGGGAACACAGAAAAAAAATGGAAAATGATTAAATTAGAGTCCAAACTTATCTAACTCGAATTTTCCCAAGCCGCATTTGGCGTTGGCCAAACCAAATTGGGCTTGATTAGCCTTGAGTGGCTCAAGTTGTCGTTATATTCTCTGAAAAACGACAAGTTCTAAGAGGTTTCAACTGAAAACTACAATGGTTAGTAGATAATATTGGTAGTATTCAGTTAAACAGAGTTTAGCTGGGTGTTTAAGTATAAAACCCACGGTAAAGCTAGAACTTAAATATTATTGTCACAATACATTGATCTGGATATCGTTAATTATTCTAGTTAACAAAAAACTAATATATCCTAATATCCTAAATTTCTGCCAGTGCAGGAACCGAATCAGCCTCGCCTTCGAGCCATTGATCGGCCTATAAACAGAGTTTTTCTCTTGGCTTGTTATTGCCCCATAGGCAAATCATATAAATTATGCTCAATTTTTTCCTTTTGGCTTTTAATAAGCATAAAAACTTATGATATGTGAAAATATGCGCAACAAACAACAACATTCTGAGGGGGTATGGGGACTAGGGGGTTATGTGGTCCATGGGGCTTGGTTTATGCTTGAAAATTGTTTACTTTCTTGTTTTTGGCTCACAGTTACGCGCAGTTATGGAATTTATTTAGCTGACAACACAGCTACACAGCCGGAAGGGGTTCTGGTTCTGGTTCTGGTTCTGATTCTGGTCCTCGAACATACATATCCAACGCCAAACGTGTCACATTTCCCCTGGGGAATCGCCGGCATGTACTTAAGGTTGAATTTAGCTTTGATTTGAGGTGGTCCTTTAAGGATGTAGGGCACGCGTCACGAGGACTTAAATAATAGCAGATAATCTCAGTGTTAAAGTGGGATGAGCGGAATTTATAATAAAGTTGGAAATGTTTCTCATACGCCCTGTGTATTTTTAATTAATTTAATTTAACTTTTTCGAAAAAAAGTGTTGTAACCCTTACAAAATCTGAGAAAATGGGTCAAAAAATAAATTTTTCAAAAAGTGGTGAGGATCGTTAGCATATTTAGCAAGCTGTTCAAAACAGTCGGTCTTTTAGCTGTACGCCTTGATTTGGCTGAACTACGATGGAAAAACCAAAAAAAAATGTGGAATTTTTGACAAAAATCTGAATTTTGTATTTTTGACAAAAATTTTAAACTTTTTTTCGCCATAAAAATTCAGTTTTTTGGCTGCCATAACAAAAATATAAGTCAGAATGAGGAATGTCATACCTCGTTGAGCTCGTTGTTTAATTTCCAATCGATTGGCATTTCAACCTGAAAATGTTTAATTTTTGCCATTTTTCGAAAAAAAGTGATGTAACCCCTACAAAAATTGAGAAAATTGGTCAAAAAATAAATTTTTCAAAAAGTGATGAGGATCGTTAGCATACTTAGCAAGCTGTTCAAAACAGTCGGTCTTTTAGCTGTACGCCTTGATTTGGCTGAACTACGATGGAAAAACCGGAAAAAAATGTCAAATTTTTGACAAAAATCTGAATTTTGTGTTTCTGACAAAAATTTTAACCTTTTTTTCGACATAAAAATTCAGTTTTTTGGCTGCCATAACAAAAATATAAGTCAGAATGAGGAATGTCATACCTCGCTGAGCTTGTTGTTTAATTTCCAATCGATTGGCATTTCAACCTGAAAATGTTTAATTTTTGCCATTTTTCGAAAAAAAAGTGATGTAACCCCTACAAAAATTGAGGAAATTGGTCAAAAAATAAATTTTTCAAAAAGTGATGAGGACCGTTAGCATATTTAGCAAGCTGTTCAAAACAGTCGGTCTTTTAGCTGTACGCCTTGATTTGGCTGAACTACGATGGAAAAACCGGAAAAAAATGTCAAATTTTTAACAAAAATCTGAATTTTGTATTTCTGACAAAAATTTTAACCTTTTTTTCGCCGTAAAAATTCAGTTTTTTGGCTGCTATAACAAAAATATAAGTCAGAATGAGGAATGTCACACCTCGTTGAGCTCGTTGTTTAATTTCCAATCGATTGGCATTTCAACCTGAAACCCGAAAATTTTGTAATGTTTAATTTACTATTGTTAAACGGAAGTGATAATTTGAATGAAACTCACACTTTGCAAAACCATTGGCACTCTATCATTCTCTTGTCAAAAATTCAATATAAAATCAGCCAACAGTAATTTGCAAGATTCCACTTCCGGAAAAAACACGGCAGATCAAAGGAAAATGTAACTGCAATTACTTTTCCCTGGAAAATACTTAGTTTCCGTTCCGATGATTCGACCAAGTGAGACTGCATTGAATGGAGTTCCCATAGTCTGCAGTTGACACAGGACCTTTTCCCCGAATCTCCGAGTCCCCGGAGTTTTCCCCAACAAAATCCACCAATTGAAATCAAACGCATTTGGCTGTAGCTTTTTTTTTGTCAGATTTTTATTTTTTTTATTCACTATGTTTGTTTTCTCATTTACTACGCAAGTTGTTTTGCATCGTCGCACTTTTCTCCATCTCGTTTTTCTCCATTTTGGTTTTTCCATGTATAAATTTGTCATGTGTTATGAAAATATAATATACTTATGTACGTTTATGTTAGATGTTTTACAGAATGCTTGGCTCCGTTTTTTCCCGTTAGTAACTATGCATTGATTAGCCATTGTGGTGTGTGTGTGGTTGTGTGTTTTTGGTTGGATTATACAAATCAATTGATTAAGTACAAAATATATAGTATACTCGTTTAATGCGTATATAAGTTTTATATATTTATTGATGCACTCTAGTCGAAACCACGCAATCAAACTGAAGACATTCATAAATTCTTTATCGATTTCCCATCGTTTTCTTTTTTTGTTGTTTGTCTGTTCTGTCTTATTAGCTGCACAATTTTCAACAACTTAGCATAAAAACTACTGAAAAACATGAAACGATTTGAGTCATAATTGAAATTGACCATTTGGTAAAATTGACTTTCGAGGGCGGATCCTGGTATCTGAGACTCCAATCAGGCATGTCGGGATTTTCTTGTTAGATTCTCCCTCCAATATCCTTGATTGACAGCCTGAGCCAGGACCTTATGTTTGTTTGTGTGTGTGTGTTTCGCTGCCATTTATGTACATGAATGTCATATACATAATGCACGTAATTAATAATGTAGAATGTTTTGCATATATCGCATAATAAACGCATTTTTGTCCTTGTGTGTATATATTTATAGTTGCATATATCGCTTTATATATGTATATATATTCGATTAGCTTGTCCCGATGCAATTAAATACATAATTAATGTTTGTTAGTATCCTGCGTGTGTGTGTGTGTTTGTTTGTGTGTAGATGTTTCTTGTATTTCTAGGTACAGAATTCATTATATTTTATTTTTGCTGGCTCACTAAGGTGCTGTGTTGTTTTCTAATCGTAAGCTTAAATTTATGTTCGCTCTTGGTTTTTAATAATATTTTTTTTTGCAACTCTACTTTTCTACAATGCTACCGTTGTGTCTGTGTGTTTGTGTCGTGTTTGTATGTGTGAGTGCTCTAAATACAAGTTAAAATGACCTTTTAATCTCTACGCAGTAACTCTGTTTTCTGTTTTTCAACTATGTATGTCTGGGGCGTGTGTAATGTATAATCGACCAAAATAGGTTTGTATATCTATCGCAACAATATGCACCTATGCAAAAACATAAGATGAGTTCTCATTAGTTTCCTTCGTTTTCTTGGTTTTCGTTGTATAAAGTAGTACATCAATTGGTCTCGTCAAGCAGCACAAAAGTTGCGATAACAATATGCAAAAAACAACTCTACCTGTTAATATATCTGTATATCGATAACTAATAATCGTTATAATCGTTTAATCAATTCATCGTTTGCCAGCTAAATTCAAAAATCCCTACGGCTCGTTAATAATAAGTTATTGCTTATTTTTTTGTTTGCGTCTCTGCAGAGTTTCTCTTCGCTTTTTGTTCGATTTTTCGTTCGATTTTTATTCCCGTGTAAACTAAATTGTTTATATTCTTTTTTTTTGCTATATATATATAGTGTATAGTGCCATAAATGTTCGGGGTTTCGCCTTACTTATCGCAATAATATAACGAATTCCAAATATTTACTCATAGATACATGCGATTTAATACTTTTTAGTTACCTTAATGCTCTATTGCTTTCGTTTTGCGTTTTTGTTGCTCTTGTTAATTGCTTTTGCTTTCGATTCACTATGATTATACCATATACAATACAATAGCTGTAAATAAGTATAGCTTTTTCTCCATTATAATATATATTCAAAGTGTTAAGTCTTTCATTTTTTGTTCTCGCTTGCTTATTCTTTGTCAGCTATATATATATATAATTTTCATGACTTTATTAGTTATGTTCAATTCTTGAATTATTAGTGTTAACGTGCCAAGTCTTTTATATTTTTTGCTCAATTATTTATACATGTGTGGGTTGGGGGGATGGGTTGTGATGTTTTTGTGATTTTGATTTGGTAAATAAATAAATCACGCTCAATGCAAACTATGCAAATTAAATTTTTCGAATTAAATGCGTGCAAGGACACCACCCCCTTTCATAATATTTTTTTTGCAATTTCCGCGAGGTTGGTGGGGGGGGTGGCTTAGACCCCTGGTGTACCACCCCCTTTTTTATTCACCTCCTTTTTTATTACATTTCCCTTTGTTCGCGTCCGCCTAACGAGCGCTCGTTAAACTGCATTGACACAAAAAGGACAACACAACATTGTGTTGCCATGGGTGTTCGGTTGTTCAGTTGCTCGGTTGTTCGGTTGTTGGGTTGTTCAGTTGGGGGTGGTGTCAGCAACAGATAATGGAAACAATGGATCATGAACCTAATGCTACAAATACTGAATTCAACAATTGCATTTCGCGTTGCGCTGGTTCCATTTATGCGTCTGTACAGGGTAAATGGTTGTATTTAAATGTATATATGTGGGTCCTACGCTACTAATGTATCAACTTTAACAATTTCCTTGGGTTTAACAATACATCATGGGATGATCTGGGTTCTGTGTATGTGCGTGATTGGAACAACTGAAAAACTTAATTTTGGACTAAAGCTTTTCCAAATACAAGTAGGTAAATGTATATGCCTGGGGGTATAATTAGTAGTTTCATAGAGAGTTTTTCTTTTACAAATTTTAAAATATGCACCCCCTTATTTGCTCCGCCTGTTTTTATAAATCTTTACCACTACTTTTTATTGCTTTTCGATACACGTTATTACTATTAAAAGTTTCTGGAGCTCAATTTGATTTCTCTTTTTTGCTTCTTCCTTTGAGCAAAATTAACGAATAGTTCTGAAAATTGTTAGTGTGTATTTGGACTATCACAATATTCGAATTGCTTTGGGTTCTTCTTCGTTTTATATCCATCAAAAATTACTCAGCAACAAAAGCCAGTTGAAATAATAAAGACTCCGAATTGGTTTACAAATAAAAAACATTGTTTCGCTTGTAAAATGTGTGGTTATTTAATATGTATTGTATATTTGTAACTTTATAATTGCTTTTCTCGTTTTTCCATTTGTTTTTGCTTTGTTTTATCGTTTTTACAAGTGTGCTTCGATTGCTAATTGTAAGTAGTTCCAACCTTACAGTATTCTTTAAGACTAATAAATCGATTAACTTGTTAGTTAAGTTAAGTTATTGCTTTACTTTCCATCGCCTTCTATACAATTGTTATACAAAATTTTTAAAATTTAATATTATTGCCGGGCTTCAATTCAATTCAACATTCTCATAATGCAAATTTCATAAATATTCATTACATTTCTCGCTTCGATAAATTATAAACGATACGTAAATAATAGTTTACTATATTCTAGATAACGCTATATATTATATATAATTAATTGTAGTTGTAATTGAAATAATTGTAATTGTAATTTGTCTTGCGGTTTGCAGGGGTTCTTATTTTCATGTTTGAGTATTTGCTTTGGTACTTTAGCCGATTTAGTCGATGCCGATTGCGATCTCGTCTCGATTATTCGATTAATATTATTCCTTAAAAGTGTTGCCATCTCTCTCGTCCGACGCTCCCTCCTCCGAACAACAGTATAAAAATAATTTCGTGATTATACTTACTAGTTTAACTTACGAGTACATGTCTGAAGACTAACCCTAGCTGTATATAATATATGCTTTGTAAATATTACGCAACTACATACGTATTCTAGATGTATATATCTTCTATATTCATATTCCCAGATACCCGCTTAGAAATACCAACAACTTTGGTTTGGTTTTTGGGTCATCTAAACTTGGCTACGACTAGGGCTACAAAATGTTCGTTGCACTTCTTTCCCCACTTCCTCTTTGAGATCGGTTGCTGAAGCTGATTTCAGTTAATGATTATAATGCTGATGTATACGCTATATATCCTAATATTTACAGATTTGTGCAGCGATTGAATGACGTTGTGTGTGTATGTGAGCTTTTGTGTGAGTATGAAGATGGATGAGTAAATGATTGAATGAATGAATATGAGTTACAGTTACATAATATAGGGCTAAGTAATATCGTACTAGGTCGGTTAAGTGTCGAAAAAGTGCAAAAGTATTATTCACGCATGGACGAAGTGTACTGTTAAATGCTTGAGACTAGATCACACTCGATATTTGTTCTGCTCTGTTCTGCGATTGAGGGGTTCTCTCTGTATGCGATCGAATACTTGGGGCTTTTGGGTTCCCCCGATTTCTTTGGTCTTATTCGCTGGTTGTACTCCTAATTGGGCCTTGAACGGAATGCAATGTTTGTGGATACTAAAAAACTGGGAATGGCTTTGGTATTAAATAAGTGAGTTTTGCTGTTAAACAGCGACTAGATGTTCACTTCACTAAAGACTAAAATAAAAAATGATTCACTGGGTAGCAGTGCTAATTGACTGAGGAAAAAAGCGCCCAAAAAAATAAGGTTTAGGTCTCTCGAACCGCCCTCTGTGACTTCTGCAATGCTCTTCTAGCCATAAATGATTTAATTTCGGAGTGAACTAATTGGGGGACTTGACCTATATAAACGTGATCGTGATGCTTTCTACAAGGGTTAATATGAGGCTTACACAACCAGTTCTCGGGGAGTTTCAGTTGGTCCTTGTTGTTTTCTAGTTTCGGTTTGTTAACATTCGATCTTGAACCGCTCCCACTTGAACCGGTTCGCAACACCCGACTAAATATTGCTTTGCGTTTCGTTAATTGTTGCTTGCTTGCTTGGTTGCTTTTTGATTAATTTGTATCGTTGTCTTTATATCGAATCTAAAAATTGTTGAGTGCTTAAATGTCGCTTTCGTGTGACTTAGTTTAAAATTGCTTAGTGGCTAGCACTCGTAATTACTGCTTATAGATAGGCTGCCCTTAAGTCCTAATTCGTTGTTTGAGAAACATTGCATTTGCTTTTGTATTCGTTGCATTAATTTTAATCACTTCGTCGTCGTCGTCAACGTTGTCGATTAAAGAGATAGAGATAGAGAGTAGGGAGATATTGTTCGAGTAAGAGTTAGAGTTAGAGTTAGAGTTAGCTAGAGGAGAGTGTTCTTCGAGAGTTAGTTGGAGAGAGTGGGTAGATTAAAACGTTCGTTTGTTTGGTTTAGCTACAGGTTATAGTACACTCTATATATGCATTTAAATATAGTACTCTATGTGTGTGTTTTGCTTTTGTTTTGGTAAGTTTTAAGATAGATAAGATAGCTGCTAGAATTGCTTAGATTTCTTCAGGTTCTCGGAATGCATGTGGCTTTAGCACCTCATACACAAGGCTCTCTGTGTGTTTGGGGTGTTGTCTTGTGTGTTTTTTTTCGTTTTTGGAATGTGTAAGGTTTTAAGGAATGTTCAACTCACTTAAGTTTAAAAGAAGAACCATTTTGAGTTGGTTAACATGGGGGTGTTCCCGAAAGCTCTCTTCGAATTTGTAAGTTTCCTTTGCATACTTTTGGAGGCACCTTGAAAAAAGGAGTTTTCAAATCGCCAGAGAGATTTCGGGAGCACACCCATTGAGTATTTTGTTGCTTGGCTGCCTAATGCGAATTTCTACAGTCTCTGTGTTACTCTACTACACTTTGCTCTTGGACGTATTGTGATGTATGTATCTTCTATAAAAACGGCTATCGGTTAACCTAGTTGTAAATGGTAACGGTAACTTTAACATTAACGGTAAATTAACTAACCAGCTTTGCAGTTACAGCACATCCTTCCTCTTTTGTATGGGCAATGCCACAGAAATCTCTTAAATTTTGAACCCTCGACCATTTCTTTCTTTATACATGTTGGTCCTACGAGCCGGATTATCATATTTTAGTTAGGAATTTCGAAACTCTAGAGACTTCTTTGGCACCCCCCTGTGTTTTATGCTTACATGGCATAAGTGGGTCCTCCACTGCCCTCGAGTTTCACGCGCTCAAGGAACTCGTGTGGCGGCGACGAGGCCATACTTGCCCCACTCTCACTGTTGCTATCGTGCATGGACAGCGACATGGACATCATCAGCTCCTCCTCGTCCTTCAGGCAGGCCGACTCCAAGTGCTTGTTGAGGTACGACTTCAAAGCGAAGGTCTTGTGGCATCGCTTGCACTCGAAGTTCTTGTCCACCGAATGGGTTTGCATGTGTGCCCGAAGATTGGAGCGATCCGCAAAGGCCTTGCCGCAGTGCGCACACCCATAGGGCTTCTCGCCCGTGTGGGATCTCAGGTGTCCCTGGAGCAGCCAGGGTCGGGAGAACAGCTTGCCACAGACGCCACAACTGTGTGAAAGCTTGTGGGTGAGCAAGTGCATCGCCAGGGCGGGCATCGAAACATAGGCCTTGCCACAGGTGTGGCACTTTTTGGCCGACTGTGAGTCCAGCGAGCGATGTGTTTGCTTGTGGCGCGACAAATTACTGGAGGTTGCATACTGCTTGCCACACTCGGAGCAGGTGTACTTGGTCTTCTGCTGGTCAGGAGTGGGCACTCCGCTGGAGGCGGCTGCCGGATCCGCCACATGCTTGCGCTTCGAGCGACCATCGCTCACGAAGAAGGCCTCGTAGGTGTAGGCCACCGTTTTGGCCGATGCTCCAGATGCTCCGCCACCATGCTCCCCATCCTGGAGGCATTCGCCATCCTGATTCGTGTTGGTCGTGTTGCTGTTCTCGTTCTGCACCTGACCACTGGTGCTGCTGCTGCTGCTCGAGTTGCTGCTGGGACTGCTGGGCATGTGATTGCTGCTGGCACTCGAGGCATTGCTGGCGGGGCGTTGCTCATTTACCACACTGGCCGCTGCTGCAAGTTCGGCAATGGAACTGCTGCGCAGATGCGCATGCGCCTCGAGAGCTGGCAAGTGGGTGTGGTGTGCCTGCTGCTGCTGCTGCGGCTGTTGCTGCTGCAGTGGCAAGTAATGGTGTTGCTGCGGGGCAAGGTGTTGCTGCTGTGCATGGTGATGTTGCTGCTGCTGTTGCTGTTGCTGCTGCTGCAGCTGGTGAGGCTGCGTGGGCGGGTGGAAGGCTGTGCTGGCACTCAGATCCAGGATAGCATGTGCCGCATGCAGGTCCTCCTCCGCCGGAGTCCTTCTCCGATACCCGTGCGCCGGCTTGTCATCCAGTGAGTACGGCCTGTAGATGTCCTTCTTCTTTGGCGGCAGCGACAGTGTGGCCCCTGTACTGCTGAAGCACTTTCTTTCGCTGGAGGTCTGGCCACTCGAGAGCGGACTGTACCGATCGCCGGCGCCGCTGGGCGAGCAGGAGGGTGATGAAGTGGTGGACGAGGGCGGTGTTTGGTAGGCGGCCAGGTGCTGGTCTCCACTTCCGTTTCCGGAGGAGGATCTGGCTGCCACCAGGGCTGTGGCCGCGGCTCGGATCACGGTTATCTCGCTCTCCATGCGGGGCAGGTACGCGGTGTAGTGCAGCGGCGACAATTCGCGGGTGTATCCTGTAAGGGGGAAAAAATAAAGGGGAAAACATGGGTTAAGGCTTATTCATCATTGGTTAAGAGAGGTTAAAATACACAGAAAGACTTATAAATCAGAAATCCCTTGAAAAAGATTCATATATTATCATGTTATACGATTTATAACGAAAATCGCTTGAAAAGTAAAGGGGATAGTAGTTCTCAAATAGTATTATCCCTTAAGTATGTTATACTATTCGTGTTATAAGAACTGTCTTTTTTAAGAATCATATCAAAAGGGTATTAATTTACAAAGTTTTTTTTTATTACTAAAATGTATAAGCTAGTCATTAAAAATTAGTTAAGTTGCCTTAACTTTCTGCACGTGTACCTTTAAAAACTTTTAAATTATAAAAACTTCTGTTTCCTTTTCTTTTATAAGCCACCAAAACATTTATCCTTTGTCCTTCTTCCCGAGCTTTTTCTTTTTGAGAACTTTAAACAATAGCATTTATTGTAAACTGAAGGGCTGCTGCCGTCACATGGTTCCACTTTATGATTCCTCTGAGTTTAATTTCTATAATCCAAGGACAAACTTTGAAAGGTCAACTTGAATATCATAAGACCACGCCTGAAGTTGTGCTATGATAACCATAGTAGTTTTTATGTGCTAGAGAAGATTATATTTTCTTAAAGGATGCGCAAAGAAAACTTTCTTTAGCGGCTTTCATAGTAAAACACTTAAAAACGTTAAAGATTTTGGAAATAAGAATGATTAAATATGATATGATTAAAATGACATGATTAGTCAAACAAAAGCTTTAGTTCTGGTGTCCTTTAAGGGCATACCAGTCTTCATTAATGGTTTCCTAGACTGCTAGGAAAGTACCTGTTTAATTTCTAATTTCCTCTGAATAATTAATTTTGCAATTGCACGTAAAAAGCTTTGACTGGGCACATATTGCAGCAAAACGAAGGACCCAGATCCAGGCAAACGGTTTAATTTCGCCATTTGCCATTGTTTTCACGCCGAAGGGAAACCGAGTTGGCATTTGCCAATGAGGGTAGCCCTCTGGCCGGAATCGCAAACAATATTGAGTGACAACAAAGGCAATTAAATTGATTCGGAATTGTTTCGCAATCGCACAATGGCCACATCAATGACAGCGATTACGTGCGCCCCCTCTGAATTTTCCGATTTTCTTGCTGTACTGCCCTGTACTTTCCCCACTTTCCCGGGGGCGAACTTACCGTTGTAAACATTGCCGGCCACTCGCGTCGCCGCCTCCGGGGAATGAGGAGGCGGACTTGGAGCCGTAGTGCCCGCCGTGGGTGAACTGGGGCCCCAGCACTTCGATGTTGTCGTCGTCGCGGCCTCCATGTTGCTGCTGCTGCTGCTGTGCGATGTTGCTGCTTCCGAGGATGTTGCTGCTGCTGCTGCTGCTGTTGCTGCTGCTGCATCTGCTGTTGTGCGTTGTTTTTCCAGCTTAATCAGGAATTTATCGCCCACCACATCGATTTCCTCATCCTCATCCAGCGTAGAACGTCTGGACTTGAGATGCAGCTCCTCAAGATCTCTGGAGGAGTTGGTGGCACTCTGATGTTGCTGCTGCTGCTGCTGGCTAGTATTATCCTCCGTCCGGTCCAACCAGGGATAGGCCTTCCACTTCTTGGCTATCAGGCAGCGCGGCATTTTCTGGTCTTCCTTTTCTTAGTTGAGGTTAGAGTTATGAAGATTTGGCTGGGTTCAGGATCCAGTTAGTAGATCTTAGAGGGCTAAGTGCTGAAGCTAGTGGCGATTTTCGAGCGAGCAAAGACCGTCTCAGGGGGTATTATTTGTGGCAAAAGCGGAAAGGAAACGTTGCTGTTGTTATCTCGCATGTGAAAATATATATATATATTGTATATAGAGTTTGGCTCGCCGAAAGATCTCTTAAAGTTTTAGTCGTACAGCTTGTTGTTGTTGAGTTTCAGGCCTGGCATTTCTGCTATCCTGCCGAGTGTGTTTTCATGTGTGTGTGTGTGGTGTGTGGTGTGGAGTGTTTCGGTTAAATATTCTTAGTAATTTGCATTTTATTGTAAATTGGTTTTCCTTTTTTTGGTTTTTTTTTTGTTTTTTAGTTAGGATTCCTCGGGTTTCACAGCCACTTCACACATTTCGGCGCTTGATTCGTTGTCAGACCCGTATCCGTCATTTGGGCTGGAGTTTCTGCTCTTTCTCTCGTGTTTTTTTCGTTTCTTTTTTTTATTTTTGTTGGGCCGGAGTTTTTGCGTTTTTGGCCAGGGCCACCGATTTTTGGTCAGTACCCCCCGTCTTCTCCGTCCTCCCCTCGCTCCACGGAACACACACGGACACGTTCGCGTTCAGTTGGCTGGCTGCGTGTGGCTTATCGATTTTTACATTTACATTTGCGTTTACGTTTACGTTTGTTTTTAACACGGAATCGGACTCAAAACATAACGGGGGGGATATCCTTTTTTTTTTTGGGGGTATCCTTTTCCTTTCTTGGTTTTTGGCTGGCCAATTTCTCCTCGGTTTTTTTTTTTTGGTTTGGAAACAAAACTTGTTCGATGGTCGAGTCGAAAATAAATGTTTTGTTTTTTGGTAGATTTCAGTTTAAAAACGGAAAGTTGACAGAGTTGTAGTGGTAGAGATGTAGTTTTTTTTTTTGGTTGAGAAAGTTAAGTTAAGGTTGACGCGAGTTGAGAATAGTTGAGTTGTTATTATTGTTGTTGTTGTTGGTAGTGAAAAAATTGATTTAGGAGAAAATATAATATTATATAAGATAGAGAAGAAATGCGAACGAACCGAACGTAAGCAACTCTTGAATGCTTATGAGAGTCGGACGGCCCGAGAGCCTGCTTATAAGGGTGGTCCACCCCCTGAAGAACGATGGGAAACCGAAACCGAGACCGAAATCGTCTCGCCAGCCGAAGGGAAGAGCGAGAGAGTGCGAGAGCGGAACGCCTGAGAGCGGCACAGCCCCTAAAATCCAACCCCCAAGTAAGGAAGCATAGCTGTTGCTATTGCTGTTGCTTGTCCTGGGGGCTGCTACGAACGTAGGAATTTTAAAATGATTAAATTAAAGAAGATTATATAGGGTTAGAAAATACGAAAAGTAATTTAAAACATACAAGGGGTAGTTTTTATGCTTAAAATATACTAAAAAACCCTTTGAATGAAGTGTTTTTTAACTTTTTTTATAAAATCGCTTGGTGTAGAACCTCCCCATAGGACAGGCAACAATCAGGAAGTGTTCCATTGCCGAAACATTCCCCGCTGTTGCTTTCTCCCAATTTCAAAATTGTTGCGCCTCTCTCTCCAATTCTCCACCTCTCCCACTCTATTGCTTTCTTTCGGGGGGAAAGGACCCCAGCCATACCTGAGAATTGGCTCATGGCTCTTTGGCCCTTTTGGAACTTTTTCGGCTCGGGGCTCGCGGCTCTTGGCTCTTGGCTCTTGGCCGCTTCAGGCTCCCCGATTCACAGGGTGGATTTTTCGCCCAGAATGTGGCAGTTGTGCCGAGTTAATTGCTGTTGCATTGCATTTGTTGCTTGGCTCTGATTTTGAACAAATTGCCAACGACGGGGTGGTACAGCGGGTGTAGTTCTCGTTCCCTAAATATATACATATATACGTTGGGGGAAGAGGGTGAGGGGATGCAACAGTCGTTGGTCCTTGGGTTCTAACTCAGTTAGTACAAGATAAACAGCACAAACTAACTTCTGTCGCCCTCACTCTTCCGACGGCCCTCCACTGGCCATGAATAAGTGGTTTTCTTGCCAGATCACAGAGGTCGGATATGAGTGCGGCAACTCAAATCGTTGGATGATTAATTGCAGCTCCTGCCGAGTTCGTTTTGATTGACAGCTGGTTGTGTCATATGCCACGCTTCCAGGATGAAATGAACTCGATTTTGGAACGCAAATCTAGGTTTTTTTGGTACTATGAAAAGGGTCCTGCATTTTGAAGTCTGCCAAATATTTATTATATTTGTAAATGTGTTCCTTAATGTATTGATTTACAGTCAAAACAAATGTAGACTAAATTAATTTGACAATTATTATTAAAAGAACATTCTTTGTAATGGCGTTTAAGAGGTATTGCGCTGAGATTAAGGAAATATATCAAAAACATCTTAAAGCTCTTAAAAACAATTGTAATACTGCCTTATTGGGCACAGAAGTACAATTTCACAAATAGCTCAAAAAATCTTCCAGAAGCTGTTGAACAATCTGCTCAGAATGACCCACTATAAAATCCCCCAAACATCTTGAAAAGTAACTTCCTTACATATACAATCTGTTGGCATTCTCAGTCAGTGCAACACACACACAAAACTAATTAATTAAAGTGGAGCTTCGGTTAGCTGAACGGGGAGCTGGAGCTTTGCATAATCAGACACTTAAATTACAAAGTTCTTAACCTTTTAATTAGCCAGCGACAACAGACAATTTGTCTGCCTCAGACGAGCTTAGCGTCGCTTCTGCAGCCGTTGGTTGCAGTCCTTTTCAAAATTATACTTTTCATTGGAATTTTCATTCGGCTTACTATGGTATCCGCCGGGTCTTTTGTCCAACCCACTTCCTGCTCCCCAGCCCATCCCCAATCATCGAAAACCCGAAACAGATGTAACCTTTTGTTGTATGGTTTCCTTGCTTAAACTATTTCGAATTTTTTGAGGAAAACCAAAAAGTGCCCAGCGATCTATCTGTCCATCCATCTCGCGAAGTGACAGGCCATAAGGACCTCGACCTCCTCGGGCATTCCTTGGAAATGGACAGCGGTATGTAAATATTAATGTTAAAGTAACGTATAGACCATCTGTGGAATTCGGTTGCACTAATTATAAAAAAAAGAAATTGGGCTCGCCCTACGCCCGGGTCCTAAGTAGAAGCCTTAAATATGCCCCGTTCAACCCCACCCAGGTTGCACTGTAAGAAATTTATGTTATTTTTTTCGAGGTGTAATTTAAAACCAAAAAACAAATATATTTATAATGAAATTAAATCAATAATAATAACAAGCTTAACTGCGCAAGATAAAATTGTCGTTAAGTTAGTAAATGGCATATTATATCAGGGATATTGTTAGTAACGTTACCAATATTTTATAGAATTTCCAAAGGTCTAAATTCTTAACTAAATAATCAATCGTAAAATTTTATAAGTTGTTTAATATACTTAAGATTTTTACTGATTTAAAAAGTAGTATATTTCTTTTTACACTTTTGGTACTAGAATTCCTTTACCTTTAAAAATACTTTTTGTTTTATTTTCTTTGTAGGTTGTATAATTTTATTAAAAACTAATTCTATAATAACATTTGAAAATCGCATAGTATTTTTCTCTATGCATGTCCTTTCTTAAGTTGTTGACGAAACCACTCGCCTGGCACGCGGCTCCTTGCAAATGGTAATCTGCTTTTCCAGCCAACAGACTTGAAGGCGATTCCGAACAAGATGCGCTTTATGCGGCCCACGACGAAATTGTTGCGCTTCGTTAGTCACGCCCTCCGCCTCCTTGAGATATTCAGGACCCACTCCCCATAGAGGACCTCGATCGCTGGCCACGCGCACACTCCACACCCTCTCTCGAAGTATTCCAACCTCGATCCGGAAGGTAGACTGCAGATGGTGAGGCACTGAGGCGATTCAAGCTCTACAACTCCATGTGGGCCATATGGCTTTGGCTTTGGCTAGCGAATCGGAACTTGGGCCACGCGTCACGACAGGAAAATGTAGAATAGTTTGGTTGTTGCAGAGGAAAAGCGGCCATAGGTGCTGCTACCAAAATTATGCAGCCGGCAGAGGACGACGGGCGGAATGGGGCGCGCTCACCTGGAACAAGGACAATATGGTTAATGCAGCGACAGCCTTTCCTGTTTCGTGTTTTACGAGCGGTGCGGTGTGTGTGCTAAGTTTGCAGCTATTAGTTTTTGTTTATTCCATGTTCTATACCCTGCGAGGGAGTATTTCAAATGGGCTTAAAGGCTTGCCAGGGTGGTGTTTCCGACACGTTTTCGGGAGATATACTCGTATATAGGGTCCATGAGGACAAGTACTTGATCGGCAACGTCCGCTGTTGCTGGTCTACTATCTAGATTATTGGTTATAATTATGTAGGTCCAAATGACATTTTTTAATAGTCCTGGTCTAAGGACCTCTTTTTAGTACTCCTAATTAGGTTTATTTGGACTTTCAATTAATTTTTCAAATGATTTTTTAGTAGAAATTAACAGCCGATCATTAGGCTTTGTGATAAAAATAACTTTTTAGGGTGAAAGAAATAAGATATCTTGCAAATCAAAATATTCCAATAGTCCAAAGCTTTGTTTTAGCAATACTGGTATCAAAAAATTTGATTAAAGTTTTGTGGAACTATTAAGATACAAATTAAGTGTTATAGAATTTTTGACTATTTCTCCTCAAATAATATAGAATATTGTAAATATATATATCTATTTTGAAATACGCTTTCAAAATACACTTTAAAACATAAAAAGCATAATAAGAAATATGATATTGTCCTGCATACTATTATATAATATCTTCAAACAATACCAGAAGGGTATTTCTTTGGTCAACCCATTAGATTTTGTTGAAAGTTGTTGGTTTATTTAGTTTTGAGTGGGGGGTGGTGGGTCCGAGAGTACGAAAGGTGCACCGCAGCCCAGTTGCGGGGATTCAGTTGAGCGCGTTTGCGAGCGTGCAAAAAGCAGCAGGAGCAAAAGCACGAGCAGGAGTGGGAGTAACCAGGAGCAGGGAAGCAAGGACCAGCAGCCAGGAGCAGGAGCAGGAGCAGGAAATGCTCTACAAGTGCTGCAGCTGGCCCAGATGTTTTGGGTGTTTCCCCCTTTCTTTTTTCCCCGTTTTCCCCGTTTCCCGCTGATGGGTGGGCATTACGCCCAGCTATAAGCCCAATCTAAAATGCACACCCCACTGGCTGCAGTCGCCATTCGGCTTGTCAGCTTGCCAAGGGCTATTTGGCGTTGCCTAGCGAGTTGCCCCGAAACTTTGGCTATAACCGACGCCCCAACCCAGTCCTGCGACCCAACCCTATATACGTATATTTCATATATCCCCTCTATATGGTCGTTTATAGCTCTGTCTCGCTTGCTCTTCGCTTGAAGTGTGACGCTCGCGTGGCACGGAAGTGACGTCGACGGCAGCTGTAGCCGAGCTATAACCAGAAACTGTTGATCCTTTCCTCCTTCTCCTCCTTATATCACCCCTGCCCTTCCCAACTGGGCACCCAGAGCTAGCCGAGGGCCAAAGGGAAAAGCAAGCCAGAGGCAGCGGTACGGAGGTAAAAATTCACAAAGGTACAGAGCCCAAGGGAACCAGGTGTCTGGCATGCTCATTCCGTTCTCCATTCAATGATGTATTAAAGTGGAAACAGCACGAGAGTACCAGACTGAGTCTGGGTCTGATTCTGAATTGTATATTGTTCATGCCCTATAGGAAGGGATATGGAAATTCAAGGGGAAAGTATGCTAAGATCAGAAATCGTGGCATATAATATTTAGAACTGCATTATAATTTGTTTGAATTTAAATATTTTACTTCTTAATCACTGTTATTTATAAAGATATATATTTGGAACTTTTTAAGGAAATTAATATAATATATATATTATGGAGAAAAGCTAAAAAAGTAATTTATTTTGCATACATTTAAAACAAAAGACTTAGAATCCTTACGCGAATTATAAAATATTTTTAAACCACCCAGACTTTATCGAATTTGACCTCCTTGAATGTAATGTGAACGTCTTTTTCTTTTTAATACCAAGTTATACGACAGTTAATTTTCAAAAATGCTG